CCCACCCCCGTTCTCGTACGGCAAACCGCGGTAAGGCCCAGCAGACGCCGTGTCCTCCCGGACCTGCCTTGGGAAGAGGAGTCCTTGCTAAGCGAACTCCTGACTCCATCGCTTGATGTGGCTGCAAGTAAGTAGTGGAAAAAATCAATGGTTAGTGAAAATTCCCTACATGCTCTCAGACGGGAGTTAGGCTGCTAGCAGTAAACTTGAAGTAACGGCTCTATCAAAATCGTTAAGGAAGTGAGAATCTTAGTTGCTCCCAATAAAGTATTTGAGTAAAACTTTGGGGATCGACAAAGATCACTCATGCACAACTGTGTTGCATGACTGATTCCACGTGTAGCCCTTGTGCTTGATTTGATGAGGCGAATGCCTCTAGGTACATTTAACTTGATAGTACAAACTGCACTCAAGACATGCAGCCATTCAGGAGTTTTTCTTGGTTTAAGCAACAACAACAAACCTTCCCCAAACAAATAATGTACTTGCAGGAAGGGCAATTAGCACCAACTATGCACTTCTACAGTACTACAGACCAAAGAGCCTGCATGAACATTTCAAAGTTTAAACCCGTGTTTTTCAAAATATTTACTTAAACAAATTGATGGTAGCATCAACACAGTTGACAATTTCAGTACTTTCAAAGGGAAGCTCCAGTCGGCATCAGACACGGTTCACTTGATGAAGTCCAAAGTAAGCAACAACAGGGTAACAGCATGCAAGCGGATTGATAGTATCGCCAACGGCAGTCCTCTCCCACAGGCCATCTTTTACTTGGGAGTAAATCGCCAAAAAAACAGTTGGTGGACAGTTTGGCAGCAGGTTTGCAGCTCTGGATTTTTCCCACCCAGATTGACCGCATGCCCCTTTCAGAGAGGCTTCAACCTCTCACTTTTTAAATTCTCTTTTCAGTGCTTCTGTAAACACACGGAACGAGAGCTGAAGAATGTCACAGGAACAAGGACAACTTATTTCCTCTAGAACTAGGCAAATATGGTGAATAGACCACAATGTATTTGCTGTGCCTGTTAAGCAGTAATTCAGCTTGTAAACACATGGAATGAGAGCTGAAGAATGTCACAGGAACATCAACAAGGACAACTTATTTCCACTAGAACTAGGCAAATATGGTGAATAGACCACAATGTATTTGCTGTGCCTGTTAAGCAGTAATTCAGCTTGTCCTCCTCACTGGAATTACCAACTTGGTGCAGATTTTGTGATGTAAACATCTGCCTGTCCAAGAAACAAGACAATTCATACTTTGGCCCCCCTTGTTGGCACTGTGTTCGATGACTTTAAACTGGCACTAAATAGGAAACCATTTAATGTCAGTTAATTTAACAGATGTTTTCTTTGAGGGCTTGTCCCAGTTGGTGGACTGTAAAGTATAGAAGGCCTCACCAGGAAAAGAGAAAGGTTTTATTCTGGCATTTTTATTCTTCTGTATTGTTTATTGAAACCCAACAACTTTATCCAAGAACGAAGCAAACTTTTCTGGCTGTCCAGGAGGAAAAGGTTTCAAAGTTGACAAGTCCATCAACTGCAGCGTCTCCACAAGAGTGCTGTAAAAATAGACCAAACCCAAAAATTAAAAAAAAAAAAATCCATCCCAAACAAATTTTTTCTTCACAAGATTTTCTTTCTATTCATACATACAGAATTCTTTAGCACAGAACAAAAATAAGGACACATACTGGAAGAGGCCCCACAAACCAGGGGGCCCCAACCATCACTGGCTCATAGGCAGCATTGCTGAGAACACACCTCCACCTCTACCACAGCGCTGGACAGACAACCTCAGCTCTACCTTCTTCATCTTCTGTGGTTGCCATGGTGGGAGACTGAATGAGATCTGAGGATCTTCACCATAAACCGCACCAGGAAATTCATCCTATGCAAACACACGGCCTAGCTCTCCACTTAGCACACTGCCAAAAGAACAGCTAAATCAATCTGTTGGCTTGCTATTATCAGACTGTAAATAAGGCTGAAATGCTAGGCACTAGTCAAGAAAAAGAAATTAAAATTCCTTCCTGTCTCCAAAGCTCTCAGAAGCACTGAGGTAATAATTTAAGAAACTTGCCCAATATAATGAATGACAGGGCTAGTCTTTTCAGAAGGCTCTTCTGAAGCACACAAAGGGAACAAGGTGCAGATGAAATAATGGGAGTTGCATTTCCTTTGCCTCCCATTTAGAGGTCATCTGTTATTTATAGAGTGCAATCAATCATAAGAGAAAAAAGTAAGATATAGTCAAAACAAGAGAGCGAAAAAAGTTAACAGGAGCCAGGATGAATGCAAACAAACAGAAGAAGCTGGGCTTTTAGTTGTTGGTGGGTTTGGGGGGGGAGGTGTGTTTGTTTGGTGGTTTGTTTTTCCCTAAAGTGAGAGGCAGTAGTGAAACTCCATGTCAGAGGATGTGGTGGATTCAGTAAGTTTGGGTAAAGGGCAGCCTGAATAAGTACTTAGAAGACAGAGGTACTGAAAGTTACTAGCCAGACAGCATCTGATGTAGGAATCCCCCTGAATCAAAGTACTTAAGAGCAGAAGAGGGAGAGTAAGACAAGGAAGTACCATATGTTCTTGCCATTTCTGCTTTTGGCTGGACATCTGCACATGGCCACTGCAGATAGTATATTGAGCTACTTGGACTCCTGATCCACACCAGTCAGGCCACGCTTATGTTTTGTTCTAAATACTCCAGGTACTTTCAATTTTGTTATGTCAGTACATCTATACAGGAAAATCCACAGAGTAAAATGATGAAATGGAGTCCTAAGACTGCAGGAAGCAATTTATTCCTTATGGCTCATAGTTACAAACTGATGGTTGTATTATTTCTAGACTTCAAAAAGGAATCCAGCTAGTGAGAAAGAGCAGAGAAAGACAGAAGCTGTTAGGTGCCTCTAGGATGCTACCTGACTGTTCCAAATTCAACCACTTTATTTGGTTTAAATTGTTCTTCTTTCAAGCTGAATACATGTGCCCTCAAAAAAAAAAAGAAAAAAAAAAAAAAAGAGTTGTGGTCAAAAGGCTTTATAAGTTTGGTAAAATAGCACCTAATGATAACCTATACACTATGGAAAGCCTATCTTGCAAACAAGTGGTTGTTACAGAGCAGGATGTAAATTTCCTCGTGACATTCTCAATTCTGCAGTAACACACTGAGCGATGGTGCTGAACACTGCTTGTTCAGTCAGGACAGCCACAGCAGCTCCATACCTGCAATTACAGCAGAAGACGTGCCCATCTCTATCGAGCTGTTTTGCCAGTTCAAGCTGATGGTTGTTCATCAGCTTTTCATTTATTACTACTATTAGTGGTTTTCCTTTCTCTAGAGTCTCCAGACAGCTACCTGCACCTACAGGAAAAACAGAAAACAGGATGAGTTTTATCCTTGACAGATGAAATACCACCCTACTTCCTCTTGAAACATGGGAGACTTCTGACAGTGAACATTTAACCGCTCAGCTCTAGCTGTGGACCTGAATATTCACTGCCAGCTCACCCCAAGCTGTAGAGAAGCAGACTTCATCCAACCGACCTCCACTCCTGCCCCCAGGATTACAGGCAAACAAATGGGGCGCTCTTTACCTGCGTGGCTGATGACCAGGTCCGCCCTCCGCAGGTCCTCACCCAGCGAGTCCTTGAAGCGGAAGGCTTCCACCGCCAAGGCCGGGCTCCTGCGCAGC